GAGAGGGAGGTGGGAGGGGGGATCGGGATGGGGAATACATGTAAATCCATGGCTAATTCATGTCAATGTATGACAAAAACCACTACAATATTGTAAAGTAATTAGCCTCCAACTAATTAAAAAAAAAAAAAAGAATACAATGTCCCAAGTTTAGAGAAAATTCATATTCCCTTTTTCAAAGCAAAATGCACTGCTGTGATTTTTTTCAAATTGTTGTTTATAACAAGTCTTATTTCAGTAGACAGTAGTGTTGTGGTTTCTGTTAACTTTTTCAATAAGTAATTTATCATGTAAAAGAATAGTGCTGTTTTTTTTATAGCTGTTAGAATATATTTTGTGTAATAATTATGTAGTGATACTAACTCTGTTATGTGTTTTACAATGACAGATTTTCACATATTGAAAAGATGTGAGAAATGTAATAGGCAGGAAATTAAAAACACAGGATACAAATGTAAAGACATTATAATAATGGTTGGAAATTTAACATTTTATAGTATAAAGCATTTTCACATATTTTATCTCATTTGAACAAAACTTACAAGCCTTCTTCCAAGCTAAGATTATTCCTTGGTTTTAGTAGGTCCCAATAAAATACATGGAGAAGGAAATGGCAACCCACTCCAGTATTCTTGCCTGGAAAGTTCCATGGACAGAGGACCCTGGCAGGCAACAGTCCATGGGGTCACAAAGAGTCGGTCACGACTGAGCACATCAGCAATAGATACAAATTTACCTTAAATTCTGTTTATTGAACTGCCTCACATTGACATATAAGGTAATTTTATCTCATATGTAGTGTAAGCATGTGCCAAAACTTGCCCACTTACTCGTATTTTTTCCTACCCATTATTACTGTGGACCACATCTACTAGTGGCATTCCTAGCTTCTATGTAGTTTACATTCTATGTAGCTCTCAAACTCTTCATGCTTCAATAATATGGGATAAATTAGTACGAACCATTGCAATCTGCCCTAAAGTACTGCTGCTGCTGCTGCTAAGTCGCTTCAGTCGTGTCCAACTCTGTGCGATCCCATAGACGGCAGCCCACCAGGCTCCCCTGTCTCTGGGATTCTCCAGGCAAGAACACAGGAGTGGGTTGCCATTTCCTTCTCCAAAGCATGAAAGTGAAAAGTGAAAGTGAAGTCGCTCAGGAGTGTCCGATTCTTCGAGACCCCATGGACTGCAGCCTACCAGGCTATTCTGTCCATGCGATTTTCCAGGCAAGAGTACTGGAGCGGGGTGCCATTGCCTTCCTAAAAGTACTACTGCATTTCAAACATCCTCAGGCAAAAATGCTAAAAATTATTAGAATACTGATTTTATGGAATGATTACATATAGCAGATAGGCACAGTCTGTAAGAAGCTTTTCCTATCACCCAGGTAGAATACTTCATTATCATCTCTGCTATATTCCTGATGCTTGACTCCTGTCTCTTCTATTCTGAAAAG